ATAAAAGTATTTAAAAAAATCACATATAGGGACAAAAAAAATTTAATGGGAAAAATATCCTTGGATAAGGATTAGCAAAAAAGAAAAAAGAATCGTTCTTATACCACTCAGAAAAACCAGGTAACCCTTTACCATCTCTCCATTAATATAGACTTGCATTCTCTCACATACTAAATCAAATCATACCTTATTAATTTAGTAATATATTGCATGAAATCTTTGTTTTATTAAAACAACTTGTGGACAAGTCAGCTAATATTAGGGAGGTTAACACTTAACTGTGGCCTGGATGGTGTGGCTCAGTGGTTGAGCATCGACCCATGCACCAAGAGGTCCCAGGTTTGAATCTGATCAGGGCACATGCCCAGGTTGTGGGCTTGATCCCCAGTAGGGTGCGTGCAGGAGGCAGCCATTCATGTTTCTCTCTCATCAACATTTCTCTCTCCCTCTCCTTCCTCTCTCTAAAAAAAAATAAAAGCATATTTAAAAATAAACAACAACAAAAAAAACTTAACCGTGAAAGTCCCCTAGAAGGACCCGAAGGCCTCTCTGATACTCAGCTACTCTCTCACTCTTGTGTGCAAATCCTTAAATAACACTTGTGTTTGAAAGAATGAACCTCAGGAGACTGCAAAATAGGGAGTTACTCTCCAGTGACTACATATAGTGACAAAAAAAAAAAGTTTAGTGGAAATGAACACATTTCTTGAAGGGCTTTGGGTTAAACTCACCATTCTTTTAAACCCATGCTTGCTGTTTTTACAGGAGAAAAATCATAATCGCTCATGTTTATCACCCATTTCTTGTTAGGCGAGGTGCTAAACAGTTCACATTGTTAACGTAAAAAAAACATTGAAACCTGTAAAGAATTTTTTGTGAGTTTATTTGAGCCAAACTATCGACATAGGCGGGGATGCAGAACTTCAAGGAATTGAGATAGTGCTCCGGAGAACGGCGGGGTTACATTTGTATTTATACATTTGCAATCAAAGGAGGGACATAGGTGGGTTACATGAAAT